TTTGAAAAAATGAAGAATATAGGCATCGGAAACGAATTTTTACTAAAAAAAAGGATGTCGTATTAAATATTTTTGTAAATGATGCAATAGTCTCTATTTTTAAACGATTTTATTTTATTTTTTTTATTTGTTTAAAATTTTTAAATTGTTTTGTTTCAATATTGAAAATAAATTTGCTTCTGATGCAAGAATTATTTCTTTCCACTTTGTAGTGCATTTTTAACCAAATTAAAAATCATTTTATTTATTAGTTTTCAATATATGTATGTACTTTATATGGAATGAAAAAGAAATTATAGACTTATCAAGTACTTTTTTTACCCTACGAGAACACGAACATTAAATTAACGCTTGTTAATACCTCAATTTTCAGTTGAATAACCATTCAAATGTTGCTGCATATATTTTACGTACAAATGTTTCGTTAATCAACGTCAAAATATTAACATTTTGACGATATTTTACGTTTCTTTTAATCGCATTGCAAACGTGAAATAATCATTTAAAATGTACATAAAGTGTAAAAAAAAATAGTGGACGATGACGATCATATTTCAAAGCTTTTCAAAAAATTATGAATTGCATTGAAATTTGCTTTATGTTTATGCAACATGTGCGCATAAGATTGTTTATAAGTCATATTCACAGGCACAGAGCTGGGCAAAATACTTTCAAAATGTATTTAAAATACAAATTACAAAATACTAATAGAAAAGTAAAAAATAAACCCTGTATATTGAAAATATTCATTAACAGTATTTAAAATGTTTTTGTGAAATATTAAATCTGAAACTCTTAAGATGTGACTTAAAAAAATATATTGTATGTGCAAGACAAGCCCGATCCCAAGATCATCAAAAAATTAAAAAAAAAACTAGACATGGGTCTGGAAACAATCATTTTCATTTGGATTACTGAGATGCAGAATATTTAATTCACTGGTAATCTTTTATTAGTTTTTCTTAGAATAGCCCACTAATGATAAAAGAAATTAATTTAAAGTTTTGATGATTGATTACTGACTTGATTAGTGATGATAGTTACCTACTATTAACAATACTAATTAGAAATAATAAATCACTTCATAAATTCGTATAATTTTTTTATTAGGTACAACTTTTTAAATTATCGATAAAAAAATTGTTGGATATTTTGTGCTGTATTCACTTTTATATTGTTAATTTAGATTTTGTCATAAAAATAGCAGCGACGCATTTAAAAAAAATTACCTGATAATGACCCATCGAAGGCGAAACGTCGGATTGCAAAAATGTTGACGCCATTGTATAGAGCGAAAAAAGTGGCTATGTAAATATGCAATTTATTTTAAAATTCGTTTTCAAATAAAGCCAGAAAAAAAATTAAACAATTTTGCAAAATTTCGGGTTTTCAGTAAACTTTGCAGTTAATACTATGTATTGCTGAAATCTCAAATCATCCAGAGATAATTTGTCATTTGTGCATTTGTAATTCGACTTAGATGTTTATAGCAATACTGTACAAAAATAAAGTTTTGGGTCAAACAATGAGACAGTTTTTTTTTGTATTTTTTTCCGTAGAATTGAATGGTATTATCAGATTTTGAATTTTTTTTAAAAGTAAAAAAAAAAAAAAAAATAACGAAAAAATCAATGGTGCAAGTCATTTTTTATTTTTTTTGCAATTTTGAAACGGGGGTAAAAAATTTTTTAATTCAACAAAAAAGAAAAGGCAAAACAAAAAAAAAATGATCACCGGCAGAACTCTGTACAATGATTTCCCTAAGTAGAATTTTTCTTTAAAACAAGTGTTTCAGACCGGAAAAAATGAATATCTCGGAAACTTAATTTTTTTATCTAAAAAAAATTGTGGTTATTTAAGACACAGAAAGGTATACTTTCACCAAGTTTCGTCAAAATTAAGTTATTTTTGAGGAAATGACAAATAAAAAACGAAAATTCAGAAAAAAGCTTTTTTCGCATTTTTCTCGGAAATTTTGAGGTTATCTTAAAAAGTGACCTCTACAAAAGTTGTAGATTTTTGCATGATCTACAACTTTGGATACTTTTTTGTTTGACGTCAACTTTCGCCAAAAATCCTAATGATACAATTGTTCACATATTTTCAACCCCCAAATCAATCCTCCGCCAGCCCTGCTCAAACATTTATTTTTTTTAGGTCTATTATATGCCCTTTTACCATTTTCCACTTATAAAAGTTCAGGTAACATTTTTTTTCTCCAAGTCTAATTTGGTTGGACTAAAAATCAAGTACAAGTATCAAATTTCTGTGTTATTTCTGGATATGCAAAAATATGTTTAAAAAATCAACATCAAAGAAGTATTCACTGAACCCAATCGAGGTCAATAAACTGCAAAGGGACTATCAACTTTAGCTGTAGTCAACTACACTTGATATACGTTGTATTTGAATTGTTTCAGTAGTAAATACTTTACATACAATACATGACAGACTAGGTAAATTACAATTTTAGAAATTCGAAGAACGTCCCGAAGGCAAAAGCGTCTGGTAGTAAATATCAAGAAATAAACGCATATATGACGAATGTCACTCCTAACACGCAAATGACTCCACCTGGTACTGGCCACCCTTCGCTTGTTGAATTAGACACTTGGGACATTTAACTAAACTAAGTTGTTTTCCCCAAATGCTTTTCATGATATGTGTGGGACCGTTGAATGCAAAAGGAATCCAAATGACAACAAATGCGTCGAATAACTTGGTACAAATATAATTTTGTTCATCTAAATTCTTGAGACAGTTGGAGTTACACTATTGCACGTGTTGGTGTATGCTCGGTTAATAAAGTTAGACATAAAAATAGTGTCGACTGGGAGTAAACTAATGCAAAAAATTAAAGGATCAAAAGAATTTCCGAAAATTTTCCGTGATGTTTGACAGACTGTATTTAGGTGAAAAAAAGGTCGTATCGGGAATTAAAAAAATGCTCTAAGATTCTAGTTTTTAGATCTTTTGGTCGAAATTTTTTAGGAGCTACAGTTATCATGTAATTCTAATAGTGCGACAAAAAAATTTTGCAATTTCCACGAACTTTGAATTTTTTTTTTTTCAGCTAAGCCATTGCATGGACCAGATAACTTGTTTATTCAGCTTCAATTTCCTTTTTTTTTTAAATTCGATACAACCATTTTTCATCGAAATATCGGACTTTTAATAGAAAAGGATCCTTTCTTGTCTTCAATTCGAAAATATTTCTAATTTAACCATCAATTTCCTAAAAAAAACATAAATTACCCTTTTTTCCTGTTTTTTTAAGTTCATGTAAAAGATGAAAAAAAAATTTTTTTTTTTTGAAAAGTTGCAGCAGCATGTTACAGGAAATTTATTTCAGTTTTCGAAACTGCCCTTCAATTCTCTGTACGACCATTTGTCGCCGAGATATCGATGATTGAAGATAAAGGATCCTTTTATCTTCAATCATCGATTCCATTAAAAGTCCGATATTTTGATGAAAAATAGCAAGTCCGTGGACTCGTAAGAAATCAAAATTTGCAAAATTTTTTGTCCCGCTATTTCTTAGAATTGCATGATAACTTTAGCTACTAAAAAATTTCGAACGAAAGATCTAAAAACTAAAATCTTAGAGCTGCAAAATATTTCCCGATACGACCATTTTTCACCTAAATACAGTCTGTCAAACATCACGGAAAATTTTCGGAAATTCTTTTGACCCTTTAATTTTTTGCGTTAGTTTATATTGACTCACAGAGCAAATGTTTTTTTGACTCTTATAACGAACAATATAAACTACTTACTTATTTTTTGAGTAATCTACGTTTTCTACAACATTTTCACAAAAATCGAACATTATTAAAAGATTATTAAAGACTGTAACAGATAAATGTAATCTTCACAATATAAGCATATAAAATAGATATTACAACCGAGGAATACAAACTAAAAATTAAGTCATTTTAAGTTGAAACATCGACTAGAATTTTAAAAACAAACAAAAAATCTGAACAGACAAACTAAAACTTTTCATTTTCAAAACAAATAACCATTGTGAAGTTAGCTAAACCAATTTCAAAGTAGGACAATCACCATACATGAATTTTACAAATTTCGCTAATACCGAGAATAAAAAAAATATTTTCTTCTAGGAAGACTTTAATATTTTTAGCCTTTCTTGTGTTCTTTTGATTTTTAACACAGTTTATATACCTACTTTAACAAATGTAATATTTTATTTTCTCTAAAATATTTTCTTGTAACAAAATTACTACGTAATAATGTTTGATCACTTCACATTTTTTATCTAAGTGTAAATCTTAAGCCTTAAGCATCTGATTAGTGATTAAAAATATCCAATCGTAGTCTACAAATGTGAAATATTGGAAAAACGCGGCTTCCTGCTCGAAAGTACAAATTCCCCTTTTAAAAATAACAACGATAACGATAACGAATTTTTCAAAACAATTTCGTTCCAAAAAAACAATACTTAATTACAGCACGAGGCTCCCCTTGTCTGAATTGGTCGCTAATGATCTTATTTTCATCCCACATTAACAATAACATTAATGACTATAGCGATTCCTATCTGTGTTTATCGTACAAAGTCCGAGAGGATTTCTGCGAATTCCTCTGTTTATGAGTGAATTTCCGAGTAACTACTTGGAACTTCGACATGAGTTATCGATAGTCTGTTCTAGTTCAAACCTTGGCTTATCCTTATCATGGAAGATTTCATCAGCTCGTTGTGTATTAACAAATAGCAAAGTACAATTATACAGGGCGTGTTTCAAAAGAGCAAGCTAAACGATCGTTTTCGGTCAATATTAAAAAAATTAAAAGACATTTTATTTTCTGTAATCGAATAATAATTATTCAATTCTTCGCAAGTCATTTGTTTAGTTATAGAAAAAAACTTGTGATGAACACAAGATAATAACTTTAGTAAATGTCTTTGTATCTATCCTTTATATCCGAAATTTAGTTATACGGTTAAAGACTTATTGATGATTCCAATTTTTTTTTAGCCACCGGTAAAAAAGCCCGAACAGCCTAAGATGGAGAGAAGGAGACCACCAATTTTCAGACCAAAATCGAGAACAGATGTAAGTTGTTAAATTTATTGAAATAAGATCATAAGATCACTATTTCGTAACTTACGTGTGATTTTGGATTTTTTGTCTTATTTAAATTTTGGCTAATAACAAATGGTCGCAGTTACCATGGTTTTGAATATAAAATTAATAGAATGTGTTTTATATTAAAAGAAAAATATGAGAGTCGCTCCTTAAACACAACACACTGCATACTTAAAAGAATAAACAATTTTTCAAAAATATAATCTCGAATTTTATTGTAAAAGAACGTTGTTGCAGTCAAGCAGCGCAAGTGGTAGCAGGTTGGATGGTGGTCGGCTCAGAGGAGACGGCGGTGGAAGCAGCGACGAGGACATGTCGAAGGACCTCAGACATCGTCTCCAAGAAGAGGCGTCTCTCTACAGAAGACGTCTGGACACTTACAGGCAGGCTCAACAGAACCAGGCAGCTCTGGTCAGTCGATTGCAAGCCAAGGTCCATGATTTTAATATATTTCGATATTTTTTACCCATCTTTCCAATGTCTTTACTAACCTTTCCAATATTTTTACCAATCTTTCTGATACCGTTACAAATCTTTCTACATATTTTTGTAGTGCAGTGTTTTTATTAACTTTTCCAATGTTTTTACCAAATTTTTCAATGTTTTTTTGCCAACCTTTCCCAACCTTTTTAATTGTTTTACCAACATTCCCAGAATGTTAACCAATCTTTATAATTTTGATGATTTTACTAAGTTTTCCAATATTTTTACCAAGCTTTCTATTATTTTTACTAATCCTCTCAATATTTTTACCAAACATTCTTATACCTTTACTACCTTTCCAATATTTTTACTAAACATTCCATTTCCAATGTTTTAAATGTTTTCCCCCTAACCTTTTCAATTACTAAACTTACAAATATTTGTAACCTTTTTCAGGTCTTACAGTACAAGCAAAGATGTGCAGATCTTGAGGCTCAAATGACTCAAAATCCAATATACTCAAGTGACCAACCCAGTTCAATAACCCCATCATATCCCACTCCTTCACATCCTCCAAGCTCGGCCATGGAGCAAGCTCAACAACATTTAAGGGACATTAGAGAAGAAAGAATCACAGACTTAGACACTGCTCTACAAAGACTGCATGAAGAACGTAGAAAGTAAGAGAAGTAATCCAGTCAATGTAATTGTTTATAAAATAAAAACAAATTGTTTGCCAAAACGCCCAGAAATTTCTTTGACAAGGTGGACTTACTTACGTTTTTTATAGGAATGAAAAATTGATGAACGCAAATACGTCTCTTAGGGAACAATTAGAAGAATCTCACAGTACCAATGAAGCTCTCACTGCTGATCTCCAGAAACTGACCAATGATTGGGAAGCCCTTCGTGAAGAAATGATCATCAAAGAGGATGAGTGGAAGGATGAAGAGCAGGCATTTAACGATTACTACAGCACGGAACATAACAGACTTTTGAATCTTTGGAGAGACGTAGTATCAGTGAAACGATTATTTATGGATGTTCAGTCGAATACTGAGAGAGATCTCAACAAGATACGATCCGAGGTTTCTGGAATTGGCAAGGAAATGCTTATGGCCTGCAGCCGGATGGATGCCAATGTTTTTACGGAAAGCGTTTTAGGTGTAAGTACTTAAAGAATTACTTGTTCATTGTATGTGTTCCAATTTGTTTATATTTTCGCTATTAGCAAGGACAAGAAAAGCACCAGTGGGAACAAGAATATTCAGAACTTAAGACAGAGATGGAAACCATGAGAATTAAACAGGAAAACTACCAGTCCGAAATCCAAATGAAGGAAGACAGAATCCAACAACTTCTCAAAGATATACAGATACTGGTGTGTTACAAATTTAGTTGATACTACATTTTAAATGGTACTGATACTCTGAATTATCTTTAGGAGGAGAGATGTGCAGAAGCAGAACAAAATTGTGGACAGATGATGAGAATGCAGGAAGACACCGATATCCTACAGGGTGCGCTAAGGGACATTGCCCATGCTCTTATACAAGATGCGGAATCGAAAGAACTAGAAACACTTTTACAGCCGACACATCTTCATCTAAGCGCATCTACACCGATACCACAAAAGTAAGTAGAAGCTTCGCTCTACCAACAAAGTAAACCATGATTTGAAATAAGAATATCATTGATTTTTGGCTCTTTAATTTAATTAGATGATGCTTTATGATATGTAGATTATAATTTCTATAATTTATAAAGTCGCCTTCTAGTATACTCATTCCTAAGTTTAACTGGTTGTCTAACTATAAATATATAACTAGTGTGTTACTACCTTTTTATCTTCTCGCAGATCACCAAAACGAGCGGCTCGCGGTATGACTTCCCCAGCAGCATTTGCTGAGAGTACGATATCAGCTGTGCAAGCCGCATTGCACAAATACCAGTCATATATCCACGAACTACAGGTAACTGCCATGATTACAATGATCTTATTTAACACATGTAAAATTTCAGGTGAAGCTCCAGTCGAATAAGGAGCAACTTTTGTTAGTTCGCAAGCAATATGAGAATTCTGAAGACAGCGTGGTAGCTTTGGAAGATCGAGTGAAAGAGCTGGTGGCTCAACTGGATGCTTGTCGTTCACAAGGCGCACAAATGGCTCAGGACAGAGAACTATTGCAAAAATCCCTGGATAACGTAAAAGCTGAGAAAAATCAACTGGATAGAACTCGTCTGGAACTTAATAGCGTTATAGAGTCTCTCAATCAAGATTATGACAAGTTACAGAAAATCAATAACAAACTGCAGAAAGAAGTGGACAGTTTACAGGATGAAAAAATATTTTTGCAGTCTGAAGTCGACAGGTTGAATCAAGAGTCCGATTTAAGAGAAATCACCTTGAGAGGTGAAGAAGATAGATGCAGCAGGATGAGGGAAGAACTGCTTTCGGTTAGGGAGGAACTAAATAAGTTGTACTTATCTTACGACATGCTCGAAGCTCAGAAATTGGAAGCCGACAATCTCATCGCCAATTTAGAAAAGATAAAAAGTGAGTAGTTTCTTGATTTCTTAAGTTTCAAATTATTAAAAAAAAAACCTTATTGTTTCAGTCGAATATGAAATTCAATTAGACAAAGCACAAGGGGAGAGAACGGATGTCCATGACTCTTTAATGAAGAAAGAAACAATTGCAACCAACCTTGAACTTGACAAGAAAAAATTACAAGAAGATCTAAGAAAGGTAATTTTCTAACACAGTTTTGATGACAACTCTTATGGTCTCTTTCTTTTTAGTTAGAAGAAGAAAAACTGGCCTTACAACACCAGTGCAATGACCACCAAAACGACATCCAGTCTTTAAGAAAAGAACTACTACAGGCGGAACAACAAAAATTAGATTTAGAGTCTGATAAAGTGTCTTTGTCTGAAAAGTGTAAATTTTTGGATATAGAAAAAGGAAAAGTAATGTTTCACAATGTATTTCATGACAGAAATGATACTGTACTCGTTTTTAGATCGAAATGGAGCTCAATCAAGTAACGAGAGAAAGAAATGATCTCAGCAATCAGCTTACAGTGCTCGGAAGAAAACGAGACGCTCTAAATGAAGAACTCAACAGGTGCAGACAGAGATTGGAGCAGGCGAATGAAACCAACGCAAGAGTCAATCGGAATTTGGAAGAACTCGTAAAAGAATGCGAAGAGAAGCAGGTAAGTACAAACATTAAATTCTCTTCTGTCTCTTAGCTAACAATTTTTGAAGTGTACAATTGACGCGATGGACAAGGATATGCAGCGCCTTCAAGAACTCCTGGCTGCTGTCCGATCAGAGAAGGAAGCCTTGGAAGCAGTCTTATTCGACACTCAAACCAACCTCGAGGCTTCCGAAGAAAAAAAAGTGCAACTGGAAAAAGATCAACAAGAGTTGCTTGTAAAACAGGAACAACTAAAGTCTCAAGTCGCGAGACTAACTAAAGATTTAGAAAGATCAGAGAAAAGATGTGTGGAAATCAGAAGCAGCTTGTCGAATGCGGCAGGGAATAAGGAAGTAGAATTCAAGCAAACAGTGGACAAGCTAAAGCAGCAGAACGAGGAGACTGTGAGAAAACTTACAGAGGAACGGGAGAAAATTAGAAGTTCTCTAGAGAAACGGCTGCAGCAGTCCTTGCATCAGTTGGAAAGTGAAAAAGATGCGGAGATTCAACAACTCATAGACAGAATTGAAAGTCTGCAGAATCACATCGACAATCTTTGTCAACAACACGAGGAGCTAATGTTGCGAGCTGAAAACGATAAACAACAAGCGCTGCTTATAGGTGAGTTCTTTAATCTCTTTTTCTTGTATTAACCCAATCAAGTATATAAATTAGTGCATTCCTAATATATACGTCCAAGACAGTGGCGGCTCGTCAGGTGACGCAAGTGACGCACCGCTTCACCTAAAATTTCCGTTTGGTTGTACAATTTAAAATTTTGTTTAATTTTATATAAATTTTATAATTTAGGTATAATTCTATATTGAAAATATATTGTATTTGTTTGTTTAAACAGAAAAGTTGCACGGTGAACGCCTTCTAATAAAACATTGCCTTCGTTGAGAGCAAACATCAACCTCGGACCATACAACGTATAGTATACGCAAGTGATGCAGATGGAAATCGGCCTGTTTTCTGCTTCTCGTCGTAGCGTTGTTTACGGTGGTTGTCATGGCAACGAGGCGGCCAATACGTGATTAAACTACGGCGTGGGGGAACGAGTGACGCAGAAATTGAAGCAGCATTGCCCATCGCCTGTCTAACAGTTTATTTGAGTTTATACGATACGCGTCGTCCAGTTCACGATTATAACGGTTCTTTGTTAATATTTGTTTTGTATAATAATTGTAGAAATGTTTCCTATGTATGATCCAGTATGTATTTTATTAGAAACGCCATTTTCCAGATGGAAAATTGAGAACTAAAATAATTTCTTAAATTGCGAGAGACCTGTGCCTTATTCTCTCGAAATGGAAAAAAGGAGAAGTCAAAAGACAACGTGTATGTTTGAAAGTTTTGGAATTAATGGTATTCGGAGTATAAGTGGTTGTGTAGAAGTGTTCATTTAAAGAACTTTTCTGTATGCCGTGTTTAATTGTGGGTGTAAAGTCAGGCATGAGGAATAAGAAAGGATTTAACAATTTTGGGAACTTCACGCGAGGTTGTCGTAACCATAAAGCTTCTTTGGAACATACATATATGGTGTGCGTTAATGTTCGCAGAAGTCCACAAACCGAACTAATATTTCTTATATTTTTTATAAAATGTAAATGAATTGAAATTTTTTTTTTGTTTTCAGTCAATCAATGAATATGCTTCACCTATTCTCAATGTCACGAGCCGCCACTTGTTCAAGATAGAAAATTTACAGTTTCTTAATAGAAACAAACATAAATATTACATGCCAAGGTCTTCAAACGGCCAAATTGGCAGAAGCGACCTGCTAATTCACATATACTTTGAGAGCAAGACTGTGAAACTAGTATGTGTCTGGTGGTTTGGTGGTTCAGCCGAATAATGATCTTGGCAGTTCATTGAATTTTAAAAATTGGTTCATCTAGTAGTGACGCAGGTCTTACTTTCATAGCACCTGCAAAACAGCAGGATGCTCTCTGCCAGTTTAGCTGTTTCAAGACCTAGGCATTGAGTAATAGTGACCATTCATAGATCAACTATAATCATTAAATTAGTCATTTGACCAACTTAGTTTGATTTCTTGAATAATGCCCACAAAATACAGCCTATTTCTTAAATCAAACTTCCGATTTATTTCTAAGCAAACCATAATAGAATATAATGGTAATACTTTTTTTCCATACACTAAATAGATAAACAGATTAGTTCTTGAAAAATGTAACATTTACGCAAATATTTCTGAGGATGTTTAACGTAAACTGATTGAAACTTAGGTTAATGACGTCTGCAAATATATCAATATGTGGTGTAGATATTACAAGACCTTGTCACTAAGAACCCCAGACTTTCGATTCCACTTTTACTTTTGGAAACAGATCGGTGCATTTGAGGACTTTTTTCCTGTGGGTGAGATGCCATTGTTATATCTGCTGATCTCTGCTGATATCTGCTGTCACAAAACATTGAAAACTAATAAGTACGAAATCAGTCTTGAGTGGTGTTTTTGCTGATTGATCTGTTTACTAGATATTGAGGATGTAATTCAATGTAGAAATTGGTATATAGCGTAGCTCGTGGAGTAGTTCAACAATATTGTTAGTTGAAAAGTTTGTTTTGCCTAGTGTGAAACAAGTTATAGTAGGTCACTGTCTGCCAACAAGTACAAAACAATATTATATAATAGCCAGAAGGCATTGAGTAACAATAGCATGGCCATGTACTTTTATTCATAATTTTAATGTGATGAATTCCATTGAGGTATCATTAATTAATAGTCTCTGATTGGCTCTACAGAATCCATCACATAGAAATGATGAATAAAAAACAAAACCCATTTTAGATATGTTACTACACTAAACTAAAGTTATATCTAACGAAAATCGTTCATCAGTCATCTCACCAATAGTATATTCTGATAAGAGCTAATAAGTTCAAAATCAGTTGGACGTGATATGTAGCCCGCAAATTAGTTGTTTTCCACAATACAATTGGTTAAAAATTTTTCTTATTTTTAGTCAGAGAATCACATGTACAATTTTGACAGTGGAATATTGCAACACTCTGTATTAATTTTAATATACAAAGAAAATAATCTTAATAAAGCCAAAGGCGAATTAATTTTGAAAATTAATATCAAAATAAGCACAAAATTTGACTGGTTTTTAGTAATTTTTAAAAAATCTTGTACGATTATGTCATTGTTTATTTTAAAAAACTTATTGGACAAATTTTATTTCTATCTATTGGTTTTTAAGGTCAAGATTAACCAACATTGACCTTGAACTTTTGAAGAATAATCAATTATTAATTCATGCTGAATACTATATAACAGTGCTGTTACCTTCTACCAAAAAGATATTTAATATTTAATCCTGGGTGATTGTAATACATATTTTTTTAGAATTTTAAAATTACAGTTTTGTTGTGTCATTATTTATTTTTACTTAGGAATTAAACGATTGTCAACACCTGTGTCAATACCATAATATCTACATAAAACTGTATCCATAAAAATAGAGATTTTGGCATAATGGAGTCACATCAATGTCAATTTATTTTTCTAAACTCCAATAAGTAAGTTCTGCTTCATAGAAAAATAAACATAAATTTGAATTTCACACTTTTATTTGCCAAAGTTTGACACACATAGAATTGCAAATTTGTAATATTTGCATTGCTAATCTTTTCCTAGAAATATTCAGTAATTTCTATTAAATACTTATCTTTTTTCGGAATTTATGTCTTATTAAAAAAGTAATAGGTATAAACTAAAAAAATAATAGTAGAGAAGTGTTATTTTGTAAATATAAAGATATTGTTAACATATTAAAATATGTACTGCTAAATGACAACATTCCAGCAACAAAAAATAAGTGATAGCATCAGACTTATTTATGGATGGCGTATATTTTTATCAGATAAAATTAAAATGTGACATAATACACAAGAAAAATAGAAACAAGTTATTTAAAATGCAGCAATAAAGTAGAAATTTTATGTTCTTTGTATTTAAATTCCTTGGATGTGTGAACTGCTAGCTCCTAATCTAAAAATAAATATGCATTTAATTACAGAAATAGAATTAACACCTTGTGAGGCGTAATATTTGTTTCCAAAAAAATCCTCAGCACTGCAGTGGAAATAACTTGGCATTAAAGAGTGTCAAAGCCATAGCACTGGGTGTGCTGCCATGGTAATAGCTAAATTGCTTCGAGACAAACCTCAGAGTACACAGTGCTGATTTCATTCATGAAAATAGAATTAAATAAATGATATCATCATAATATTAGGGAAATGAGTTGTTTCTAAATTTAAATTACACATTTGATGGAACATTTTTATAGAGTTCTTTGTCCAGTTGATGATATATATCTACTTATAATTGCTCCGTTGTTTGTTTTGTCTATCAACAATAATTTTTAGCCCATCATGACCAACAAGCCCTGCATGACAGACTAGAGGAGACTAGGAGGGAGTTGGAGAATGAAAGGGACACCCTAGAAAGGTTTAGGAGGGAGGCAAATGGTCGGTTTGAACAGGACAGAGCCAACATCAACCAACTGAAGGACGAATTGAATAAGTTCAAGACTAGATTGGAAGAGGCCAGAGCCAGGTATGAGGATGATAGGAATAAACTGGAACAGAGGATAGAAGAAGTCAAAATTGAAAGAGATAATTGTCAGAGTGAGGTGGAAAATTTGAAGGTGCAGTTGCATCTTTGTGAGGACAAAGGTGAAAGTGTTAGCAACCAGCTTCATGAGACTATTAGGAAGCTCAAAGAAGGTGAGTTTTTTCTAGAAAAAAAAAAAAAGTTATTTTGTGAAAAAATTGTGCTAATGGTTTTTTTAATTTTTAAATTAAATTTTAATAAGTGTCTGAGGAATTTTGACTTTGTATCAAAATATTTTTGAATGCGATTTTCAAAAGAATGTGTGCATTTTTAGTGCACAATATAAACTACCCATCACAAAGCATGTAGTACATGGAAAAATATTAATTTGTTCGCTTCATAAATTACTGTAAAATTTAAAAAATTGTTCTAATTTACTACTTTACTAAATTTAGATTTTACAAAATTTGTGATTAATATGATAAAATTAGCAAATACAAAGTGTTCCATTTGAAGGTGTAACCGTTAATAATTAACACTTTTTAAATTTAAATTTAAATGTGAAATTAAAAAATGAATAGATACGTATAGAAATTAATGTGGTGTTTTGAGGGATAAAAATACCATTTTAAATTGTTAATAAAATTTTCCAAAAGTTGGTTCCTAAATAAATCGTAGTAGACTTAGGATTTGTAATTTTGAGGATTTTATAGTTCCCAAATATGTAATTTATTTAAAAATATATTTTACTATATACAGGGTGGCCCCGAGGTAATGGGCCAAAATTCATGGGTAGATTCCTCAAGTAAAAATATTGCGATTTAGCCGAACCTTACCTTAGTTAAAGAAATACAGGGTGTTAAATGTAAAATATTATTTAAGTTTTTTTTAATTTATTCCTTAACAAAGGCAAATATCCTCACAAAATTTTGGGGATTGGAATTCTTTGAGTAGAGGAATTGACATTTGTTCACATTTTGGTTAAAGTTCATATGGGGCGCTAGCTGCAGTAGATTGAATGTGTTAAAAACGACATAACTTTTTTGTACTTTAAGCTATCTCATCTTTGGTAACAAATTCTTATTTTTCAACTTTTTTGACACAAAAAAGGTATACTTTATGAAAGTAGCTATCTCGCACCGTTTTCGAGATATTTGGCTTTGAAACTTCCAATGCTGTTGCATTAAATTACAATTAAGTACCTACAGGTATTATTAATTTAGTGGTAAAGTTAGGATTTGGACGAAAATCAAATAATTGACGTCTTCCACTTGTCTTATTACTGTCATTTGTATGCTAATTTCTATTAAGTATTATTCTTATCTAATTAAAATCATATCTTAGCTTACAAATTAAATTGTATACTCGTACATAAATGTGAGATAGAATGCCGAGGTTTTCGTTTTTGGAGTTACATGAAATCAGTTGTTTATGGAGAAACTATAAACACATGAGAAGAACTTTAATAGCAGGTTTTAAATGCTGCAAAGTCATTTCGCATTAAGGATTTATATTTTAAAATAAGACAATCTTTTAATAAACGTGTTGATAAATGTATTGAAGTTAGAGGTGGACATTTTGAACAATTATTGTCAAAAAGGCATATTTTTTTACTAATGTTTACTATTTTACTGTGCATTACAATTGTTAATTCTAAATAAACCCTTGTTTTTGACATTTCTAAATTATTTTAATTATTTCAACTATTAGCGTTGGAAGTTTCAAAGCCAAATATCACGGAAACGGTGCGAGACAGCTACTTTCATAAAGTCTACCTTTTTTGTGTAAAAAAACTTGGAAAATAAGAATTTGATACCAAAGATGAGATACCTTTAAGTACAAAAAAGTTATGTCGTTTCCAACACCTTCAACTATGGCAGCTGGCGCCCTTTATGAACTATAACCAAAATGTGAACAAATTTCAATTCCTCTATCCAAAGAACCCCAAACCCCAAAATTTTGTGTAGATATTTGCATTTATTAAGAAATAAATGGAAATAAACTAAAATAATATTTTACATTATTTTTGCTTCGGGAATCTACTCATGAATAATATAATATAATAATAATAAATCTGACTCCTTGTAAGACACTTTTTCGTGGGCCCTTCTCGTCTTTGGAGCCAAAAAAATTTGGTTCGTATTTGAATTTCTTAAAAATGATTAGTTCGTTAGAAAACTATTGAATTTAGGAACTTATTTGTCTCTTTATATTTTTTTCATAAAACCCAATGTTTTCGAGAAAAACGGCAAAATGTAATCGAATGCATCCTGTGATTCATATGAAATTCTTCGTGTTAATTGTAGGTGGCTGGCATTCGCAATTAACAAACAAATTTATTTTTTGACAGTTATCTTTAATCAGTTGTCAAATAATTATCTTTTCTGCGTTTATCGAAAAAATTGTGAGATTTTCTGTGTAACAAATGCACCTAATGCAGCCGGATTTTAGGGGACTGTAACTCTGAAAGAGGGGTCCACTTGGCAAAAAAATACGGATCTTCTAAATCTGTGACTAAATTTTGTTGCGTTAATTTCGAAACACCCAGTATAAATCAGGACACTCAGTATTTTTCAAATGGAATAAAGTTACACTAATATTGAAAGATTTCTGGTAAATTGGAGAGGACAAATTAAAATTCTTTATTGGCTTGGAAGAATCAGCAATTTTTTAAATTAAAAGACATTAAATTAAATCATTCAATTTTTTTAATAATCTTATTAATTTTCAACTGCAATACCGCCAATTGCAATATCATTTAATTAATCATTGATTTTTTTCTCATATGTTGCACACCTTTTGGTGGGCAGCGTACATGCTCATACAAAATGTTGGCAAGTCAAAGATATTTTATTTATTTTTAAGACATCTATCTAAAATTACTAACGGTGCATATATTTCAACATAACAAGAATTGTCTGGAGATTTAGAAATAAACATTACATTTAGACATAGGAATTTCATATATGTTTTTTTATTCTTTTATTTTCTAGCTGAGAATAATTCAGAATCGTTGAGAAAGGAACTCACCGATGTTCGCAGACTTCTAGCGGATAGTAATTTCGAGAAGGAGAAATATCACAACACGAATAAAGAATTAAGGGATCATGTCAAGAGAACGGAAAGTGAGAAGAGAGAACAGGCTAGACAGCTAGAGGAGGCCTATCAGAAAATTACAAGTAAGTCGCTCATTAAAAAAAATATTTATTTAAAAAAAATATCCTGTTTTTTACCTAAAACTTTTACTTTAAACAAACTTCACTAACAAATTAAAAACATTTTAATATATTAAAAATTGCGAACAATGTTGATAAATTTTACGGTGAAATAAAAAAAATTAATATAGCTAGGTCAAAGCATTATTTATTAAATATTTATAGTTGCTGCAATATGCCTCAATTATATTGAGAGCAGAACTTAATATATTTCACCCTAATCCCAAAATCAATACAACATGCCAGAAACCAATCAGTATTGTTTAATCAATAACCAATATTAACAGTAAACAAACACAGAAACATTAATAAATACCCATATCAATGATAATAATCACACTGTTAAATTACCCTTCGGATATGTTATGCTCGTCCCCAGATCTTGAAGAACTGAAAGTATCTGTGGAAAATGAAAGGAACCGACTACAGAACCAAATAAGGGACTTGGAAAAAGAACAGTTGCAAACGGAACACAAAATACAAAGTCTGCAAGAGGACCTGCAGAGAACCCAGGCCGCTGGAACACAACAGCAGGCCGAAGAGAAGGAATTACAGGCCAGGCTCTTAAATGAAGTTGAGGAACGTGAACGGTCACACCAGGAAGTGCACCAGCTAAGAAAACAGGTACGTTTTGACGATATAAAAAAATGTGAACATAGTGGCATCACTCTGCTACAAAATAATCAATGCCGAATGGTGAAAATTAAAATAATCGTATTTTGATAAGGAATCGTAGGAACTATACCATTTTTTTTGCGATGATTTCTTGCCTCTTATAGAGAAATTGATGTTAAAAAAATTACGAACCATATTTGAAAAATAAAAAATGAATTAGGGTAGCCTCCCCCAAGAACTCAAAAAATAAGAAAGTACATGTATATTTTGCATTTCCATTCATTTTTCATTTTTATTGATATACAGGGTGTTAATTAAATATGTACAATAAATTCAACACATGATTATTTGAGTGATTTTAAGACAAAAAGTTCATATAAACATTGGTCTGCAGGTGCTTCATTTTCAAGATACAGGGTGTTAAACTTTTGTAAAAAAATTGTTATTTCGTAAATATCTTAAATACCCTTTACCCAATTTTATTGTAATTTGGCAGTGTTACATGTAGTGTTAAGGGGCTCATTTAACCCGAACTTGATTAGATTTGTTAAGTCCAGTGACGTCCCAAGCGGTATCGTAACGATTATTTTTGAGGAAAAAAAAAATGTACGCCACTGACTTTTTTGTAATTTTTATATTTTTTTTGGATTAAGCCACTGAAAATATAACTTTTTTTGTCTCTTGAATATTTTTCGTATCTTAATTAATTTTTGAAGAAAAAAAATAAAATCCACTTAATTGCATATCTCTGGATCACAAGAAACGTTATTAAAAATATTCTTTAAGGTACCGCTCGAGACGCCACTGGACTTTACAAAATTTAATCAAATTAGGGTTAAATTAGCCCCTTAACACTACAAGTAACACTGCCAAATTACAACAAAAATAGGTAAAGAATGGTTAAGATATTTACGAAATAGCAATTTTTTTACAAAAGTTTAACACCCTGTATCTTGAAAAGGAAGCATCTGCAGACCAATGAACTTTATGTATTAAAATCACTCAAATAATCGTGTGTTGAATTTATTGTACATATTTAATTAACACCCTGTATATTAGGGTTGCTCAAAATAAACGAATATTTTTTTGCTGAAAATTTAAATAAAAATGCCTGGGGATCGTTTAAATTATACTTATGAAGATTATTTTAATTTGTTATTTATGAAAGAAAGCAGCAGATTCTCTACATTTACTTGAAATTACTTTGTCACATTTTCTATAAACAACAAGCAAATTAAAATAATCCTCCCTGACTGTAATTTAAAAGATCCTCAGACATCTTTATTTAAATTGTCGGCAAAAACTATTCAGACACAACAATAATTTGACAACTAACTTGACAAATGTCATGTTACTTCAATTGTTTTTGGAGTGTTTCTGATAACGGCCAATTTGACAGCAAGTCTGATACGAGAAAAACTATGCAAATATCTCTAAAAGTGGTAACGGCAACCATAACAACGATTGTATGGCTTGAAAGGAAATTTATTTCAATCTACATACGACAGTAAAAAATACAGGGTGTTCCATTTAAGTTAACAAAGTTATAGCTGTTTGAAGTTATCAAAATGTAACGGCAAAAATTAAACACCTAGAACACCTAGTATTAAATGTTTTAATTTGTTGGTATACCATAATGTAATGTTACCTGCACCCTTTATACAGGTACCAAAAATCCGCTTGATATCACGCTCCTAAAAATAGTTACTATCTCCGCGAACCCTTATTCTGTTAATTTTTTCTTTAATAATAAAGTGACCCTCAAATTTCACATAGAACGCGAAAATGTAATAATATATAGGGTGTCCCATTTAAAATACCGAAGTTGGTGTCGATTTCCGGTATAACCGGAAGTGCTGGAGAGTTCTAGATATTTTAGTTGTATTCGCTCCAGGGTCATTGCCATGCTGCCAAATTTTTAAATTTTTTGGAGCAGAACTTTCCTAGATATCGATCGACGGAGTTCCCAGTGGGACACCCTGTATAGTTTGCATTTTCAAAATTTTAAATTTTATTGAAAATTTTCCTGTTGACTATGTGGACCTAGAAATCATCTCTTAAAAAACAGTATGGGCCCCACATTTCATTATCAAAATATAGACTTTAACTTTCACCAGTTGTTACCGAAGATAGTAATTTGCCTTTTTTATAAATAGATAAATAAATACTTTATTAATGTATTTTACAACATAATGTAAAATAATATTGTATGGTACATATTGTCGTAATAAGTTAAGTCACATATATCATAAAAGAGGAGTACACAAAATTAAGAGAGAGATAAGAGAGAATAAATTTTATAATACACCTAACCATAAGTGCATATTCTAACTGAAAATCATCATTCTGTTTATAACAATATGTCTGCTTTAAAGTTCTTTGATCTTTGGAAGTTTTAATATGAGCAGGTAATTTGTTGCATAAACAGCAAGCATAACGACAAAAATCTGGAGACAATTTAACATTTATTTAGTAAAGATGTAATGTTAGAAAATTCAAAATATTTGTCATATGCATATGTTGCTACTGCCGTGTACTCTGTTTTCTCAGCGAGACAAATCATTAACATATAACATAAAATTTGTAGGCCTTAAAATTATTCCCTGTGGCACGCTATTTTAAAACCTTTCTAGATGAAAAGACCAGTTACTGTTTGGATGCATCCAATCCGACAACTTTTGAACCAGTTGAACTACAGCTTCCTTATGCCATGCCAAAACCTTATTTTTTATGTAGATATTTGTTTACGTTGACGAAATATTCATTGCAACTTTTGTCAGATGTCCGAACTTGAGAGGAACTTGGAACAGACGAGACAAGAGCTTGGAAGGACAAGGTCGCACTCTGCCCAGCTCGAGGAACAGTGGCACGCGCGAGAACAAGACCTACTTGTACATTTGGAAGACGGCAGGGTTAGAGAAAAGAGGCTGGAGGACCAGAAACACAACTTGGAGGTTTGCCTGGTGGATGCCACTCAACAAATACAGGAATTAAAGGTAGGTATACTCTATCGTATACGATTGTACTCGATTATATCGTAATATTAATTTATTCAAGGCAAAATTGGGTGGGGCAGAAGGAAGAGTAAGGGCGTTAGAAGCTCAATTGGCTCAGTTGGACTCGTCTAAACGAGACACTGAACAAAAATTGAGCAGTGTCGTGTCAACCTTAAAAAGGATAGCTGGAATACAATTGGATGGTACCGTCACGATGCCTTATAGACTTTTAAGCCCGTCGAGGAGGTGGAGTCCTGCTAGAAGTAAAAAAATTGTTATATGTCCACAATTTTCGCATATTTTTACATGTTTTTTTGTTTTGTTTTTAGCTCACGATGAGAAAGATGGAACGATAGACGTAGATCCGGAAATTGTCAGAAAAGGTGTTAGAAATTTAATGCAGCAAGTTGCTCAAATCGAAAGAGAGAGGGTAACGAAGTTTTAAACATATACGAGTAATTAGACATATATATTTTTTTTATTTAAGGATGACTACAAAACTCAAGTACAAACGGCCAAAAAGCAATTACAAGAGGCTCACGAGAATCAGAACAAAGGCGACAGCAAGCTCAGTAAAGTTCTGCAAAACCTCCGCACCCTGCAAGAAGAAAAGGGCAGTTTGGAGGCAAAGTTAGGTCAAAAAAATATAGAACTACAATCACAGGTAACTGAAGATACCACATTTATAAAGAGTTAACTAAAATGTCTTTTTTAACCAGAACGATGCCTTAGCGAAGAAAACAGAGGAAGCCAAAGTGATGAGGGAGAAAGTCGTGACATTAGAGCTGTCGTTGAGTAGCGGCTCTGAACAAAAACTACAGTATGAGGTAAAACATAGACCACCAATCAAACTTTTTGTATTGTAAATTCATTTCCAGGATAAGCTGGAGAAAATGAAGGTGGCGTTGGGGAGACTGGAGGCAGAAAAGAGAAATTTGCAGGAAGAACTGAGCAGGGTTGAAAGTAGATCCACCAAGCTAGAATTGCAAAGAATGTCAGCAGAAGGTGATCTGCAGAGACTGCAGATGATGCTACAAGAAAAAGACTCTACTATTCAGGTATAAAAAAAAATCAGTCAGCATTATCAATATTGTCACAAATGGACAAAAAAAATTAACTACTACATGTTTTAAACGTATTGCCCGCTTATTTTGAATGCTTCATCGAACAACTTAACCTCCTAATTAACATCCTCGTTCCTCAGATTTACATATTTCAGGGTTTCTACGTAAAACAAAATTTAATATTTTCTTGACTAGAAATCAGATACCAGGTAAGACCAGAAACGGTACAAGACATACATGTATACGGGACATTCCACGCCAAATCGACCACTTTTAACCCTCACCCCTTTCAATTTGGCTGAATCTTTTTTATTGTTTTCTACCCTATCGAAAACCTCACTATTTTTTAAAAATTTTTAACATTTAACTTAAAAAAAGTTATGGATTTTTGAAAAAATAGCTTTTTTAAAATGACCATCTTTTTCAAAAATTGAGTTATCGGGACGTTTTTTTTCAAAATTTTTGTTTTTTAAATGTACTTTTTGAAAAAAAATAGATCACAATTATCTGGACCTATCTTCATTGTTTTTTTCCAATTTTCGAAAAAAAAACGAAAATTTCTCGATTACTATTTTTTAATTATTTTTTTTCTTATAAAAAAAACTGACATTTTTTATAAATCCTCAAATTTTTTCAGAGTGGTGTTTTTTCGTTTTCCATTTTTTTAATATTGATTGAAAAAAAAAATTTTTTTTCAATCCCTTCACAGGTACCATTTTGAAAATTTTTGAAAATGTATATAGAATCCCAAAATTGAAACAAATATATGAAACAAATAATTGAAAGTGATAAACATGAAAAAAATTTTGATTTTTTTTGAAAAAGTTAAGAAAAAAATAGAATAATAATTGAATAATTTTTTTGTATTTTTTTCGAAAACCACATCCAAAAACTAAAAAAATTAAAAAAAGTTGTTTGGTCCAGTTTTGGACGAACAGTGAGCTTTAAAAAGAAACATACAACGCATTTGAACTCAAATAAATCATTTTGAAACCATCCTCTTTTGACTTTTTGAAATTGTCATCAATCGCTGCATAGAATAAGAACGATCATAATTAGTGTTTAAAGCCCTCTTTTCCTCTTGAAGAATGACAACTAACGACATATTGTGTGATGGCATTGGTAGAACCAGTGGATCGCCAAATAACGACTCCATTCGAGCTTTATACATGGGCTTCTCAGCCGAATAACTTGCCAAACATTACAGTTAAATTTTCACCTTTGATTAAGTATAATGAAGTGAGTGAAAATTTAATAAATCGATTTGCAAAAACGAAATCTATCATTGGAACTCAAAAAGTGCACTGTGTTATACCTGACCAAGATGGGCCTCATGGTCAAAGATTTTTCAAGTTCGAACGAATCAAGACTGTGTAAATTATTTAAACGTACTAGAAAATAAAAAATATTATATGTGAAAAATTAAGATATTCAATAAACTGTACTACGAACGCATTCTGACTAAAATATTGAGTTTGTAGAAGATATTTTTTTTCAAAGTCCACTGTTCGTCCAAAAATGGACCCAAATAACTTTTTTTTCATTCTCTTTGTTTTTAAATGTAGTTTTCGAAAAAAAATACAAAAAAATTATTCAAAACGATCTAAGTATTTTTTTCTTAACTTTTTCAAAAAAAATCTAAATTTTTTCATGTTTACTTTCAATTATTTCTTTCATATATTTTTTTTCAATTTTGGGATTCTATATACATTTTCAAAAATTTTCAAAAAGGTATGTGAAATAAGCTATATATGAAAAAAAAAATTTTTTTCAATAAAAAAAAAATCAGAAACGAAACTACACCACTGAAAAAATTTGAGGATTTATAAAAAATGTCAGTTTTTTATAAGAAAAAAAAAAAATTTTTAATGGTAATCGAGAAACTCGTTTTTTTTCGAAAGTTGAAAGAAAACCAGTGAAGATAGGTCCAGATAATTTTGATCTGTTTTTTTTCAAAAAGTACATTTAAAAACAAAAATTTTGAAAAAAAACGTCCCGATAACTCAATTTTTCAAAAAGTTAACCATAACTTTTTAAAAAATAAAAGCTATTTTTTTCAAAAATTCATCTTTTTTAAATTGGGTGAAAAAATTTGAAAAAATTCTCAGAGGTGTTCAATGAGGTAGAAAATAATAAAAAAATTTCAGCCAAATCGAAAGGGGTCAGGGTTAAAAGTGGTCGATTTGGAGTGGAATGCCCATACGTTTTCATAAAAAATCCAGTTTAAAAAAGTAATAAAATTATATATAATTAAGGAACACACTTTACGATACTGAACAGTATTTTTGTGAGTGATTTTAATCAGATTTAAATTGTATACTAACTACACAGTCGGGCTAAGTTTTAAGACCGATTTTATTGTGGCGAAGTGCATGGCGTTATCTAAGTGTGATCAACGGGACTAGCATCGGTATACGTGTATCTACCACGAAGTTGTAATGTTTTGTGTGAGACGAGTTTTTGATAGTTGCCATCGAAACGCACATTGAACAGCGGGTAAAACAGGCACGGAAACGTATCAACTGTTACAAATGGTGTACAATGAAGAGTGTGTAAAACAGCACAAATAATTTTTTTTAAAAGAAACCTCAAACTTATGATGAAAATTTTGACAGAATATAAAATGAATTTCGATATACATCCTAAATTTTTTTTCATTATCTTTATAAATGTTGCAGTTATATGTAATTATAGATTAAAGAACTTTTGGCACTTTTACAGAGTATTAACTTATTATGTTCTGGTTAGAAAAACCATAATTTTTGTCTCCTCCATTTTCTTTTTTGAAACGGTGACTTCAAAAATTTATTTTAGTCTTTTTAAATGTTTTTCATATTATTTACTGGAATAAAAATTCAAAGTGAAGCACAATTTTAACTATCTTCCGATTCACAATAAGTTCTTTTTTATGTATACTCTATAAAATCACATTTGTTTATAAACAATCTATAGAATTAGCAGAAATGAAAAATCCATAATTTCACACTAATTTGAAAAAATAACAAACATAACAAGAGATGAGCTGAAATTTCAAGTCTCAAGTGTATAAAATCCTGTTTTACTAAACCGTTTATTTGCACATAAATGTGAGAAAACAAGAAATAGTTAATTGTTTAGATTTAGATGATATAACATTTATAATTTCACAATGACACCATGAACTGATGTAATAAGTTTACATTATAAAAGTTTATTTTCTCTTGGATGAACCAAATGCTGTACAACTCCGCAGTTGTAAAAGAGTTCTAGTTTGTCTTTGAACATAACTATTGCCAAACCAACTGCTGTAATACAAAGCATTTATTTTGCAATTATTATCCCCAATTATAGAAACTTCAAGAGAAATGTGAAAACCAAAGCAGGACTGTGGCCAGTTTAGAGGAGAGATGTGTTTCTCTAAAATCTACGATTGATCAGATGACTTTATCATTGGAGAGAGCACACCAAAGCGAGACCGAGTTGAAATCTGAATTGCAAATATTGCAACGATCTTTAATGGATGCCACTTCGAGTTCTCAAACGTCAACAGAAAGGCTCAAACAGGTAAATGCAAATCTTTGGTGTAAATGTTTGATTCGATTTCATTTAGCAAACTTTTGGAAAATATTATCAAAATTTAATACTATATTAACAAAATGTACACTTTTTGTGATACAGGTGTCAAAGTTTTCATAAAAAATACTGTTTCTCAAGCATTTTCAATCACAGCATGTTCTGCCTCTGAAATTTTAAACCCAAAAACACATATTTTGAATGTATTTAAAATTGTTTAGTTTATAAGTGTCATATAAAAGAGAGAAGTGGGAATCTTTATAAAAAAAATGATATAACTGACAAAATGTAAAAATTATTATTTTTTCAAAGCGTTCATTTTACAGAAATGTACATTTGTTTTAATCGCAAATTTGACCAGTTCCAAATAAAAAGTTTTATTAAAAATATTTGCCTTCCACAAATTTTATCAATTTGGCAGAAACAAAAAATTCTGCCACATTTTAGATTAAATAAATCGCGAAGTGAATGAATCGTTTATTTTTTTCTTTGTCTTTTGAGATATGTATTGTATTTAAATTTGATAATAAATGAGAAACAAAATGACATCTTTCCTATTTTAACAACACGAAAATTTATCTTAACATTACATTACTCATTTTAAATAACAAAATTATCAATATTCAGGAAGTGGTATAGATAAAGAAACTGGACGCTAAATCAAAAAGATTTAGCATCCAGTTTATTTTATATCCAATAATTTAAAACTATGATGCCTCACAGATTTGTCGAATTTGTGTTAAACAATAGGATTAAAGTAAGTTTTCGTAAAAAATTTTAAAAATTATGAATTTTGCATACTTTGTTGTAATTTTTAGTTACAAAAGCAACTGGCAAACAGCGAAAACGAGAGACGTGTCGTAACAGAAAGGTTCGAAGCAACTCAGCAGAACTTGGCCGAAATGAGGAGGAACAACCAGATATTACAAGACCAGGTGTCTCGGTTAAATAACGAACTGGCAAATAATGAAGTGCAGAGATCCGGGTTAGAGTCTCAGCTGAGGCTTGCTCAGTGGCCGACAGAAACAGGAATAAGCTCCCACCAAGAAGAGGAGCTGAGAACGCAGTTACACTCAATTCAAAGGGAACGGAATGAACTGAGAGGAAAAGTCGATTCATTGAACAATAAGGTCAGTTCTTTGTTGAAATCGGGACTTTTTGAACTTAATTTATTTTTATCTAGGTAAGACAATTAGAATCTGATAAACGCAACATAGAAAGGGTGGCTTCTAAAGCTGCTACGACGACAGTCCGGAGTAAATCATATGAACGTCCAGAGAAATATGAAATGGACTCGAGTATAACAGAACTGGATCGATACGAGCAAGAAAACCACGAGTTGAGATTAAAGATATCGCGCCTGGAAAATGAACTTTCTGAAAGAGAGGCTGAACTGACTAGGTTAAGGAGTCAAAGGCCTGGCTTAGATGCCAAATTCGATCGGGCTGAAATAGAAAGATACAGGGCGGCTCAATTGCAGGCGGAAAGACTGCTGGAGGCCAGAGAACAGAGCCATCGTCAACAGGTAGCTAGATTGGAAAATCAGGCAAGTATTTAAAATATTTTACATCTAAAAATTCAAGACTTTTCATAAATATTTAAAAAATATATATATACGGGGTGATTTTTAGTTTAAGGAAACAAAAATTTACGAAATTTATCTGGATTTTTTCACCAAACTCTAATAACATTAATATATATATAGATTTCCAGAATTAAACTAACTCGATATTAAAAAAATTTGATATTAATAAATCCATGAAATTTCCGGTTTTCCAGATCATTGCACACTATCTTATTATCTTCATCATATTAGAGAATCAGTTTCAAACATATCCCTTATTGGTATTTCATACCTTTTAGGTTACTTTATTGCGAGAACAACTCAACCAAGAAATAAAACGAAGGCAGCAGTACGTCCTGAGAAGCACAAAAGCCGGTCGGGAGATGCAACAGCTTCGGCAGGCCCTGGGAGACTCCTTACGAACGGTCTCCCAAGATCCTTCCTTAGATGCGCTCCTTCTGGAGCACGAAGCAAGGAAATTAGATAACACCTTGTCCAGCACAGCCAGCTTGCCTCCGGCTCTGGCTCTGCCTTCATCTTCGTACCGAAGATCGACCACGCCGCAACCAAAATAGAATTTATGGTTTCGTATCAGACTTAAATGACATTGTTACCGAATAAGTATGGAATTTATAAGGAAGAATTAACGTTTAATTTATTGTTAAGTCTACTTAATTTATTTTAGTAGGTACTTAATTAGTTCTAATATTATTGAGTAAGGGGTAATTGATTTCATACGTAATTTAGTTATTGTAATGCACTACATGTACGTACATTCAACCAAAGATTATTTAAATATCGTAATAAGAATAACTCTACACTGCCATTATTATAATTTGCTCAAATACTAGAGGTGTACCAATTTTATATAGGGCAAAGATATTTATAAATTTAACACATAGTTTTTCTTTTAAATCGTCATTTGTAGCAAGAAGTAGTCAATCATTTTCACCTAGATATTACGTAATGATTTTAAGGATTTTCACATACTAGAACTAGTTGAATAATACTTGTAACGAACTGATTTACCATTTAAATCTACTTCTTTAAGTTTCAACGTGTACGTGTGGTTTTTTAAAGTAATTTTTGTACTTTTAGGAAGTACGTAACAAATACTTGTCCGTCCATTTTTTATTGAATAGATTATGTAACAAATGCTTAAATAAATTGTACTGTAACACTGCAATTTTATTCAGTAATTTCTCCAGCGATATACAGGGTGATTCACAAACGGTGACCAAAAATGAAACCTCGTATTCTTTGGTGGTTTAAATTTTACTTGAAAATCAGGCTTTTTTCAAAAAACATGAGAGTAGTGATTTGTACAAAACTGAAAAACGAATCCGAAAATATCATACTAACTGTAAAACAATGGGGTACTATTTTAATTAGAAAAATATGCCACTGGAGCATCTAAATGTGCCCAATTTCAAATTATTTCTCTTATTAGTTTTTAAATTACACAGGCCGACAATTTTCAGAACCAGAAACCAGACCTAGTGTACCCGAAGGATTTTGGTGAGCTGATTTTGAATCCGAGCTCAGAATTGTCCCATCACCCTAGGTTCTCGAGATATTCTAACCTAAAAGTGCGAAAATCGCGGTTTTTCGCTATATTCGGGGTCAGATTATAATGCGAATTAATTTTTTTTCTAAAATCATATTAAACTATCTCAAAGTATCACTCTTACTCTTCTAAACGCACTTCGATTTTTTTTTCCTTAAAGATTTGATAGATTGAGGTTTAGTACTTCAGCAATTTCGTTACAACATGAAAATAAACAAAGTTTATCCAAACACGACATATACAGGGTAGGAAAGTACCGATGGTCTATCTGAAGTTACGTGAGAGCGATAAAGTAAGCCATAGAAATCCATGCGATAGAGAAGGATGGCTATAATGAAGACTTCTCTTTGTCACCGCCCGTTTCGCCCTTCCACAAATAAGATCCACTTCTTATTTGTGGAAGGGCGAAATGGGCGTTGACGATTAGATGCCTTCATTATAGCCATTCTTGTCTATCACATCGGTATTGCGCATTTAGGTTAACTTGTCGTAGGTTATAGCGCTTTATGATGAACCTGTCATGAGTTTAGCATGCGAGTGTAATAGCGTGTATATATAAGTATGTGCTTCATATAGTTGTTTTCGCAATTTTAGGTTAGAAAATCTTGAAATATTGAGTTTANTCACGTAACTTCTGATAGACCATCGGTACTTTCCTACACTGTAGAGTACTTATATGTACAGACCATTGCTTATATGTTTCTTGAGTCGCTGAAATTGAAAACACCGGTGGACCTGCACCCTAACCTCAATATTTCAAGATTTCCTAACCAAAAATTGTGAAAACACTACTAAATGAAGCAGATACATATCTATACAAGCTGTAACATTCGGATGCTAAGCTCATGAGTCATGACAGGTTCATCATAATACGCTATAACCTACGACACGTTAACCTAAATGCGCAATAACCAGCGAAGGTTAAACCCACGACAGGTCAACCTAAATGTGCAGTATCCTACGAGCCCTGAACTCACTAGAGGTTAACCTTAGTACGCTGTTTAGCCCTTGCTGGTTATTGCGCATTTAGGTTTACCTGTCGTGGGTTTAGCGTCGCTGGTTATTGCGCATTTAGGTTAACTTGTCGTAGGTTATAGCGCTTTATGATGAACCTGTCATGAGTTTAGCATGCGAGTGTAATAGCGTGTATATATAAGTATGTGCTTCATATAGTTGTTTTCGCAATTTTAGGTTAGAAAATCTTGAAATATTGAGTTTATGGAACAGGTCCGCTGGTGTTTTCAAATTCAGTGACTTAAGGAACATATAAGTACACTGTATCTCGTTTTTGGATAAATTTTGTTTATTTCCATGTTGTAACGAAATCCCTGAAGTACTAAACTTCAATCTATCATATCTCTATGGAAAAAACAAGATTTTCAAAAAAATTGAAGTGTGCTTAGAAGGGTAAGAGTGGTACTTTGAGATGATTTTAGAAAAACAATTAATTCACGTCATAATCTGACCCCCACTATAGCGAAAAACCGCTATTTTTGCACTTTAGGTTAGAATATTTCAAGAACCTAGGGTGATGGACCAATTCTGAGCTCGGATTCATAATCAGCGCACCAATATCCTTCGGGTACACTAGATCCGGTGTCTGGTTCTGGACTTTCGTAAAATTTTGTCGGCCTGTTATTTAAAAAAATTAAAAACATTTTTTTAAGTTTAACACCCTGTATCTTTTTAACGAAGTGTCTTAGATAAAAATTTTATATGAAATACCACCAAAAAATACAAGGATTTGTTTTAGGTCACTGTTTGTGAATCACCCTGTATAGGAATTTTTTTAACTTGCGGAGCAAAATACCAACTTTTTAATTCAGATAAGTCCCGACCTGCCTAAAGATGATGTTTAAATATTTCGCCATTGCTTTCATTCACACAAGCTAATGCTTGGAGTATCCACAACTTGTGCATGCTGTTAGAAGCGAGCATTTCAATCTTACATCAAATTTTTCATGTATCGCCGCAGGTAAAATTGCATGGATTACAACCTGACGACATTGGGGAGGATGTTATTTAGGTAATACCTAGCGAACATTGTCAGTTTGTTCGATAAATCGCTAAAAGTTTGCAAGATCAACTCCTCTCCTATCTAGATGTATCCAAGCCTTATTTATTGCATCATGTCAGTTTTTTTTTAATGTACTGGTATTTTAGCAACATAATTTTTAATTTTTTTTAATATTTAACACGAAGTTTTTAAGCAAGAATTAAATCCCGCTATATGAGGTGTTCCTGTAACTGTGAAAGGAATATAGTTAAACACAGCCTACTTTCTTAAAACTTTAATCGAGTTCTACATCATTACTTTCGTCACTTACATCACTCCCACCGGCCTCTTCATCATCTTCACTCTCAACATCCATTTTCTCCAATTTCAATTTTTTACTAAACACGTCGCCTAAGCTCGAAATATACTGCAATGTGTACTTATTGTAATCGCATCTGAAAAGAAACAAATCGATTCGTAACATGCCACAAATAAAAAGTGACAACTTACATTTTTGATATCTGATCGTACTTCCTAACGAGGCTTTTCTCTAAGGCGAGCAAAGCAGGCATGTTTTTTTGGGCGTTGATTTTCGGCCCGTGCATGGTCAGAATGTGCTGCGCCCAACACAGGTAGTACTCCAAGTGTCGCGAACTGTCCAAGCAGCTCGCGATTATTATTAATAGCCTTTGAACGTACTGGGTGCCCAGACCGGCGATAATTAGTTCAACTGAAAAATAAAAGAGCAGTTCGTAATACATTATCAATACCCACTGTGATAGTTTCATTGCATATGGAATAAAAACGACACACTAGTCACCAAATATGCATACTGGGGGATCCATTTTGTCGATACATGGGTTTTCGAGATATTTTGAAAAAAAAACATTTTTTAGTTTTAGAAATTTTTTGAAATCTGTAAAACTTTATCATAGCAAAGAATTTCACTGTGGATGGTAAATTCAGATTTTTTTTAATGTGCTTTCCAGAAAGTATAATTTCCTTTGTAACCTTTTTTCATTTTTTTCAGCACATTGTTATCTTTAAAAGCTCTCAAAAAATGATCTTTTCATAAATAAATAGAAATGAAAAAAAAATTATTATAGTGCCCGAAATCACAATTAATGTTGAAAATGAATCTTTTTCATAAAAAAATTGTGAAAATTTTAAAAAATTAAGGCTTTCTTTGAACTCCTAAGTTAACCGTTTTTCTCTCATAGTTTCTGAAATCTCAAAACTGTCACTTTAAAAAAAAAAACAAAAATTATGAAAGCAGTAGGATTTCAAAGTAATCGATACATAGAGTACTATTTTTAGTTCAATGTGTTCTGATTGACCTCTAACACCATCTTCAGCATTCTGCACTACAATCCTAACACCCCGTTTTCAAAATATTACTCTTCCAAAAAAATACCAATATCGTAGATGTCAAATTTTAAATTTGACAATTGACAGTTGAGAGGTTAGGTAAACACACTAAAATGACAAGAGTAAAATAGGCAATGCAATATTAGAATTTTTTATGTCCTTTAGTTCATGGACTACTGCAATCAAGGCGAGTAAAGTGATACGCCATAAATTTTTAAACGTTACGAATTTTTAAAATATTTTGTAGTCACATAAAAATTCCAGAAAAAAATTACAGGATTAGTTTCTATAATAATAAAAAAATATATGTGAGAAATGTACTTTTTAAACTTACTGTCTTTTGTAGGGATGCTTTCGATAACCTCCTGTATTAACTTTGCTTCGTTAAGTTTCATGGACATGATCAAAGCTGCAATCGAACAATCATTAAGGCAACTGACAAACTGATCAAAACTGTCGTTTACGTCTTACCATTCGCAAAATCTTGCTCTTCGACGGCTTCTCGTACCGCGGCAGGGGTAATGCCTATTTGTAAATCCCAGGGATCAAAAACAAGATCTGAGTTTAAAGAGTAAATTAAAAGACCTTCGGTTGTGGCGGCAGCCCATTGCTGCCCCGTCGGAGAAAATTGCAATGAAAACACCCTTACCTAAAAACGATAACAATTTTAGTCCCTATTTGTAGACGCACAAGCTATTGACAAAAGTAAACGTATGAAAAACAAAAGAATTTCAAATATTTTCTATTAAATGGAAATAGGCCTTCACAATTTGCACATTTGGAAACTATGACTTCCTCAAAATTTGCCACGTTTTCAGATATTAGCACATAATGAAATAATGTGGCAAAACATTTTGCAAGGAACTGGCAATTAAAAAAAATGCAGTATTGAAACGAATGTGGTGGGCAGCTGTGACATGTCTTAATTGTGCCATCTGTTAATAGGAAGCTCAACTAAAATCTCATGCCACTTTCCTTCTTTCATAAACAAAAAAGTAATTCAATATAAAAAAATAACCAAAAAGAGCTCTCATGGCCCATGCTGATATTTAAAGTACACTTCTTTAACCTGTGCTACGAATCTTTGAATTGCCATTGTTGTTCTCAGGGCATGCTCCATATAAGAACCCCTAGGTCCAGCCTGATGTTCACTCCAGTTCTTGTTTGTTCTAAGGCTGCTACGAAAAGAACCGCTCTTCAAACAATGGTGGTCCTCCGAAACGTTCCCTAGTCGCCTCTGTAACTGGTCGCATCCAGTACTTGTAAACGTTTCGCTGTTCATCACTATCGGCATCTTCAGTAGTAACTCTGCAAAAGCTTCACTGTGACTGAATAGTCTCAGTTGTCAACAGTAAAGAATGGTGAACAATTGTATTCGATGCGGCCAGTTACATAGGCCGCTGCAGAACGCCTCAGTGAGGTGACTCCATCCATAGCAGCCTTAGAACCAATAAGAACTAAAACGAATGTCAGGTTAGGCCTAGGTATTCCGATAGCAAATTTTCCACCACAGAGCCTAGCCCAAGAACAAGAGCAGCTTAGAGATTTGTATCTAAGGATGTGGAAATGCAGTGTAAGTTTGAATTGACGCCAACAAGAGAATTGAGCCTGACACATTTTGAGGGGTTAGGCCGCTATAGAATTTTTTGTGTAAAAGGTAGCCTTAGCAGCCTTATAGAATATGAGGCAAAAGGTTTTATACATGAATTATAATTTTTTTTAATTTTGCGCTTTTGTGTCGGGCGTCTCTCATACAGCTACCAGCGCTATGAACATACTCACTTCTTACCCATTGATTTATAACTTCTCTAATACACTCATAGATGTCCTTAGGGAGTATGCATGTACAATTCAAGCAAAATTTTCAAACAAAAGTATGTTAGTGTAGCGTCAGTGCACGTTCATGTCTAAAACTCATTTTAAAACTTTAAACGTGTTTTTCTCGAAACACACTTTTTCAAAATGGCACACACCATAACTCCAACAATTTTCAATATTTTCTTTTGAAATTTTAACCACATATTTAAAACAACATTTTGAAGAGAAACACGTACGGATTTTTGGATAAGTTAATTTAAACAATTGTTATAAACAAATAAGTGCCGTTGTTTGTCAAAAATTTAATGTTTTACTTCAAACACTTACCAACTTTACAAAAAAACAATATTTCTACAATCCCGCATCTATTTCTCTAGCTATTAGTCCAAGCATTCTGTCACGGCCTAATGTTAAATTTGCAGAAATTATTACCTGGACAAAAAAAGTATGACCGTATAGGAAATTAAATTTTAAATTGAGTTTCTTGTTTTTTAAACTCGATCCAAAATGATGAACATGGTTAAAAAAAATCGCAAAGTTGCAAAAAATGATTTCTCAAGCCAAAAAAGTACATTTTTGAAAAATTTTAGATTATGAATTATTTTTCGAAATATTGATTTTTTGAAAAAAAGGCGCTCTCGAAAATTGGCTAGATCTTCTCAGCAGATAGCCCTACAGAACTATTTTTGGTTTATTTTCTTCGTAAAGAGTTATATTATCATGCTGTTAAAAAATGTTGACGATTTTATTAAATTTAAGGATCAAAAAATGACTGAAAAAGATGCACTTTTTTTGGGTATGTTTTTTTCAAATAACTATTTCAATATTTATTTACAACTATGTATAAAGTATATATAAAATTATTACAATGAAAACTAACAAAGTAGTATCCCATATTGATAAAATTATTTATCGAATGAAATTCTTCTTTTCTTTGTCGGATTGTCTTTTGATTCATTTTCTTGTTCGTCATCCATATTTTCGTGAAGAAGCATGTTGAAAGCATCAAGAGAATAATCGTCAACATATTCACATTGTGACTCAACAACGGTTTTGTCGAAAGCATCAAGAGAGTCTTCATCTATTTCGATGTTAGAAGGAGTTTCAAGCGCATTGCTGTAAAATGTTAATTGCGCCCTCAAATTTTTTTTTAAATAAAAAAATTATCTCGGCTCCAGGTCTTAAAAACATTTTTTTTTTAATTCATGAAAAAATGTCAGCCGTTCCTTTTTTTAAGTCATTTTCATAAAATAAAAATTGAAATAGTTATTTGAAAAAAACATCCAAAAAAGTGCAACTTTTTCAGTCATTTTTTGATCCTTAAAATTAATAAAACCATCAACATTTTTTAACAGTATGATAATATAACTTTACAAAGAAAATAAACCAAAAATCGTTACTGTAGGGCTATCCGCTGAGAAGATCTAGCCAATTTTTGAGCTTCGTTTTTTCAAAAAATCGATATATCTCGAAAAATAATTCATATTTTTAAATTTATCAAAAATGTACTTTTTTGGCTTGCCGCGGGCTATGCTTGCAGTAAATAGCAAGTATGGGAACATAAATTTAAACGAGTTACAAAAAAAGAGAAAAGAGAAAAAAAATAACGACAATGAAAACAAACAACGAAAAGAAAGAAAGAAAACGATACATACAAAAAAACACTCCATAGACCGATTGAAAAACGACAAATTTCCCAGTCAAAATTCGTCAATCGCAACGATAGAAGGAAGTTAAAGTACAAAAACCGAAAATGGCAACTGCGCTCTCAAATAACCTTGTAAACAAAAAAAGAACCACGGCAAAAAAAAAAAAAAGAAAAAAAAAATTTAATTTTCAATACAGCAAAAAATGTCAGCACAGGCAATAATTACAAAAACAATTTCACAAAAAAAAAAAGAAAATACACACATGAAAAACAAAAAAAAAATATCACTGTTCAACATGAAAATAAACAACAGTGAAAGTGGCACCAGCGGAACGCCGCGATACCAAAAGCCTCCACGACAACACCCCCAAAGAAGCCAGCCAGAAAGAAATATTAAAGAAAAAAAAACACCGTACATACAATAAATACAAAACAAAAAACATAAACAAACAGTTTCTACTACCACCCCTCCTACTAAAAAAAAAAAAGTCAAAAAAACACGCTTTTAGACCCCGACACAAGAGTAAAACCCCAAAAACACTCTCTATATATACTCAAAAAATGACAACACCCTACACACATAAAAAAAAAGACACCATATATGTATAACACCGCTAAAAAAAAAAAAAAAAAAAAAGATGAAAAAATTTTATCACAAAAAAAAAAAACATTTAGCAGACTAAAAAAAACATAATACATTACCTCTGGTTTGAAAACTCTACTAGCCATGTCGCCCTTTCTAACCCCAGGCAGTCTAATACTAACGTTTCCACCCTCCCTTTCTTCCCTTTCCTCAATTAGTGCAACATTACCAAACTCTGTCAATTTTCGTCTGTTGATAAAATCCTAAAACGTAAAATTCTAAAAGTATCTGATAGAAACAAATAAATAGCTTACATCAACTGCATCTAACGATCTGTTTTGGGTAATTTCAAACCTTCGGAGGAGTAAAGACTCTTTCACATTGTAAATACAAACATTTTTAGACTGACCACCAGCCAAGAGACATTCACCATCAGCAGAATAGCACAAACTTGTAAAAGACCTAAAAAAAATATGTAAGAACATATAAAGTGCAAATGGCATATACGTACTTGGCCTGTAAAGATTTCTTTGCTGTAATTAAATCTGTATCAGATCTTCCGCTCCCTAGATCGTTCCTTCCTTCAATAGAAGACACCTGGAGAGAAGTTTTTACGTTAAAAATAGAAATTTGACCATCGAGAGTTGCAACGGCGACATCTTGTCCGTCTGGCTTGAAAACTACACAGATGCCGTCAGCGGTCAATTCGATCGTTTCATGAGCCGAGCCTTTTTCTATGGCATCCCAAACTCTCAGTGTTTTATCCCAGGAAACCGAAGCTAACACCGTGCTGGTCATAATAGGGCTAAACGCCAAACTAGACTGAAAAAAAATAGTATACGACGTAAATTAAGATAAAAATATAATCAAATAACATACCACAGGTCCTTCATGCCCGGCTAAGATTTCTAAAAGTCTGCCGGTTTTCACTGACCAGAGATATATTTCGAAAATGTCCTGACCTCCTGCTGCTACAAATTCTCCGCTACTATCCACAGCAACACAAGAAAACTGAACAGGTCTCGTCGACGTAAAGGTTCTAAAGTTACGGTACCTGAAATTTTTTTTAATAAAATTGTAACTGTTTATTTAACCCTAAGGAAACATACCTTAAAACATCGTACGCTCGTACCGTGCCGTCAAGTGAGGCTGAAACGACAAATTTCTTATTACCACTGAAAGTTATCGCCGTCACGCTGTTTGAATGTTCATTAAACGTTACAAAGCAGAACCCAGAATGTACATTCCAAAGTTTTACTTTGCCGTCTTCACCTCCAGTTGCTAACAACTGACCATCGGTGGAATATGACACGCAGCTCATATTATTAGAGTGGCCTTGCTGCTTCATGACATATGTTTCACCTTAAAAGAAAATAGGATACATTTTTAATAATAGTAGAAAAGTACGTACTTTGCCATTCCCACACAAGTAGCTGTCCAAGTCCACTACATCCGAGAGCAATCCAATCACCGGTACAATTCAAGGAAATAGATGATACCTTTTGATCGGAAATGCTTAAAGAATGTATTAAATTTACTTCAGGCAGTTCATGAATAAAAAATGCCCCAGTTGAGTAGCCTAAAAAACAGTTTCAATAATAATACAACACATAACTTTAAATGGGAGTCATATACAGACTGGCTATTAAGTTTTAAGATCGATTCTATTGTCACGAAGTGCGTGGCGCTATCTATGTACGGTCAACAGAACTATATAGTGGGAGCAACCGAACAAAATTTTATCAGTATACTTGTATCTACCACAAAGTTATAACATTTTGAGTGAAGCGTGTTTTTAATAGTTGTCATGGAAACACACATTGAACAGCTTACAGCAATCAAGTTCTATTTTTAAAGCCGGTAAAACAGTTATGGAAACGGGTTACAAATGGCGACATCCGAATGTGTTCCTGTGGTTTGGGAGGTTTCGTGATGGCCGAGACATCGTGCACAATGATGAGAGAATGGGGTATCCCCGCACAAGTCACAAAATATGTAAATCTTTTAAAAACACTAGAAAATTTTGTTAACATTCGACGCTTCATCTACATTGACATAAACAAATATGGTGACTTTAAATGTCGTAAAGTCATATAAAAACAGTCAATTTTTACAAAATTATTTTCCATTGAGTTTAACCCTCCATACTGCTTTAGTTCTAAGGAGTTGATTTAAAAAGATAATAACAGACGACACTGATAAATATTAGAAAAAAAAATAACTCGCCTGTAACTAATATCCTAGTTTTTCTATGATACGCAGCAGCTGTCAAAACGGCTTGTCTATTGTCTTTTCTTACTTCATCCCCCAAGTAATGCCTGGCAATTCTTTTGTAAAACAATTTATTTACTTCATTGGTTTTATTTCCAGCCTCTTCGTTCACACTCACCTCGTTTAAGGCTGCAGTTATTTCTTCTTCTGTTCTTTCTCGTGATTTGGTCACATCTACATCGTCTTCTTCAGAATCACTAGAAATTTTCTGTAAAAATAAATCTTGTAACAATATTCATGAAATTATCATATAATTTATACCTTCTTTTTTCTTGGAGGTGCTTTATCAATTGGTACCAAATCTTTTGGGTCTATTGTACATTCCCAAACACAAGTTTGGCCATTTCTTGAAACAGTAGTTATATCATAGTTTCCCTCCTCAAAAAAACAACCTACTATTCCATCGGTATGATTGCCCAATGAATATATTCTAAAGTTAGCCCACCTGAAAACATTCTTATGAAACATTTTGAACTTCATGAAAATATGCATGGCAATAAACTTTGAATACTTACTTATCAAGAGGATACAATTTAGTGGCCATATCTTTAGAACCAACAGCCAAAATTCTCGAATCCGTAGACCAATCAAGGCAGGTAGTTTCATCATAAGCGCCGTGGTATACTCTTTCCATAATAAAAGCATTATATTGTCCAGAAAATGGACCAGGTGCTTTAAAAACAAACACTAAAAAGGTACTTGATGAAACAAATTCATATAGGAATAATAAAAGCATTACCATTATTTTCCTTGCAAACGGCAAAGTGTTTACTGTCGGGGCTAAATTTAACAGCACGCACTTTCCTTTTAAATCGATATTTGTGTATAATGGTCTGAGAAATTAAACTTATCATATGTGCATCTCCCTCTTCATTTATAGCAATTAGAGTACATCCATTTGGGCTTAGATCTAACGCATTATAATTGAATCTACTTTCCACAGGCAATGTTGTGGATTTATTACTAAAAATAACATTTTAAAATTTTGAAAATATTCCAAACACGACTTACTTTTTTAAATCAAAGATACTGATTCTGTTTCCTACTGTACTAATAACAGAATTTCCATCAGGGGTAAATATTAAATCTCCTTTTCTGTACACTGTACCTAACAAGTTACTAAACTAAAACATAAGTATTGTAATGTAAATAATTTGTACAAAAAAATAACATATTATCTCACCTTGTATGCAAATTTCATTGTAAAAAAATTAAAAATTTCCAGAAATAGTAAAGCACATGGAACATTTAAAATATGTAAACATAACCTATTTCCTGAAGTTATTTAGTAAATTTTGACATACCAATATTTATCAATTAAATTTACTAGCATTTAAATTACTATTTTTTAAAAATGATGGATACGCGTTCATTGTAATAACGAGTTTGACCTAGCTTTATAAATGTAATTATAAAGTGAAATAAAATTCGATGATACATAACAGTTATCTATGCTGCTATGCAATATGCACACTGACAAGAATTTAACACTCCAGAAGTTTCTTTCAAGTGGGTATGTAATTGTATAATTCCAAATTCCAAGCATAAATAAGAAATTATTTGTAACAAATTAAATATTAAAATGATTAAAAAATATATATTTCCACATATTTTATTAAATAAAAGAATCAGTGCACACTGAACAAACACAATTCTTAGTAAAAATGACATGATTGTTATTAAACAACAAAATAAATAAGTTTAATAACTTTCAACTCTCAAAAAAAATCAGTTTTCATAAATTGTGAACTCATCAACTCCATTTGTCATCATAATAGTATTACATTTCTAACGATATATTTGGTAAACAAATATTATAAAATCAAAATGTATTCAGAGCAATAGCAAAATTAGATGTTAATAAGCAGAGTTCCTTAATTTTATTGTTAAGAAACTAACACATTTCCTCTTGATTCTGAAGCTGCTGCCACAGGTTGTTCTTCTTGCTTTACATTATCTAAACCTCTAAAGCGAATATTGTGCTTCTCTCTGTATTCGTTGATCTCTTGGCCCTTTTTTCCTATTTGTTCATTTAGTTTTTCTATAATTTCTTTCAATTTCTCTTGATTAGTAATAAGAACTGGAAGAACGTCTTTTACTTTTCTTTCAGTTAAAACTCCTCCCACCAACCTAAAGCATTTTCTGTCTTCATTTACATTTTTTAAAGTTTCAATAACCATCCTAAAAAAACTTAGGTTAGGTACATTCACAAATCTATAAACATGCTTTTCAGAAACTTTTTTACTTCATGTCAGAAATTGCGGCAATAACCAAACGTATAAAGCCATATTACTTTTTATATTTTATATTTAAATAACAGATGATGCATACCTGTGCTCATTTAAATCCAATTCAAATTCCGATAACTTGCCTGACAAAGCTCTTTGTTCTGCTCTTAAAGTTTGAAAACCATTTAATATATCCTCTGGACTTGGCCCTTTTGAGGATTTTTTATCCTGTTTTCCAGAATTACTTGCCATTTTTAAGATTTTCTAAAATATCCCGTGCTTAATGAAAGAAAATGACAAATGACGGTTGACGTATGACAAAGAAAATTGAGAAATGACAATTCAATATTCAATTCATTACCAACACAAAATATAAATGTTCCTGTTTGTAATTTGAATAATTTCACCCTTTTAAATTTTCCCTGTGAAATTAAACCATGAAAATTGGGATAGAAACATTTCTACTGCAAAATAAAATCACCTTTCAGTAAACGGTTATTTTTTATATACATTTTTATGTGATTATGGTCATTTTAACATTTCCTTACATGAAAGAAATTCTGCCCTGCTGCTCATACGGTAGCCATGTTGCAGCAATAATTTATGGGGCAATTAAAATTGCTCGCGAAGCCTTGCGTTCTGTGTAATATAATATTTCAGTTTAATAAATTTAATGGAAAGTACTATTAGTTTGTCTAAGGAAATGTGTTAATTGTTCCATCTACTGGCTTTAAAATTAGAGAAGTGCAAAATTATTTATAATTGAAAATAAAAATACGGAATAATTGTTTTTGTTCTCAAAAATAATGAAGTGATAGTTTCACTGCCTATGTAGTCAATATTTGTGTAGTAGTGAAAATAACTTGACACAATAAAAGCAACTTACATCTAACTGGTTATAACGGAAAATTGTTAAAAGAAAAAATTCATGACTGTTTACATGTTGTCATCACTAAAGCATGTCATTGAACTCGAATTTTTGATTATTTCTCTATGGATTAATAGTTCTGCTTAGCAAAGTGTTAAAGGGAAAGGGCCCCATGACAGTCTTTTCTCAACTTTTCATTAATTTATGGGTAATGAAACTGCTAGAGACATGGAGACTGAATCGGTAAAATCTGAAAATAGCTCAAGATCTAGGAGATCTAGGAGTCATCGAGATAGAAATAATTATAGACAACATTCGCATCGTAGTACTAGGTAACTACAATTTTTATCCATGTTGGTATTTTCTATAATATGAACATTGTTTTAGGAGTAGTAAATCGAGGAAAAACGAAGACATGGCTCCTTTCCAAACCGCTGTGACTTTGACACCTGATAATCGGGATGGTCAAGAAGTTATAGAAGTCCAGATCCTGCCACAGGATGATAACTGGGGAGAAAATACCACTGCCATAACAGGTAACACTTCAGAACAATCGGGATCAACGGAAGATGTTAGCAACTGGCCAGGTGAACCTGACACGGGGCTCAGTTTTATGTGCCAGCGTTACATAGGAACCGTATTTACTTATATTCTATCCATTGTGGCCTTCTTAAGTCCTCTCGCTATGGTAGTGTTGCCAAAATTAGGGTTTTTCCCTGCTCTCTCGTCTCGATTAGGCCTTGCGGACAGCGCAAAGTTACTCGCCTGTGGCGCTGAATGTAAAGGCCAGTTAGTCTCCTTAGCCTTTAAAATGGCGATTCTTGCTGTTGGTGCTTGGGCGGTTTTCCTCAGAAAACCTCACGCTACACTGCCAAGATTTTTCCTGTTCCGTGCCGCAGTTCTGGCCTTCGTTTTAGTTTGCAGTTTTGCTTACTGGCTGTTCTACATTGTGCAGGTCACGGAGACAGCTAGGGCAGCTACCACGCCTGAGGAAACCGTCGATTATAAAGCCTTAGTGGCGTACGCTTCTAGTTTGACTGACACATTGTTATTTATACACTATTTAGCCGTAGTTTTAGTTGAAATTCGTCATTTACAACCGATGTACTATATCAAAATAGTACGTAGTCCTGATGGGGCGAGTAAAGCCTATGGAATTGGTCAGTTGAGTATACAACGTACCGCAGTGTGGGTACTTGAAAAGTACTACACAGAATTTCCCATTTATAATCCATATTTGGAACGTATCCCAGTGTCAAAGTCCCGTAAGACTTCTTCTAGTTTTAAGTTTTATGAAGTAGATGGGGTGAATAATTCCCAAATTCAGCAGTCTCAGTCACGTGCTATGTTGGCGGCACATGCCAGGAGGCGGGACTCAAGTCACAATGAGCGATTTTATGAAGAACATGAGTACGAGAGGCGAGTGAAGAAACGTAGGGCTAGGTTGATTACAGCAGCTGAAGAGGCTTTCACACATATTAAACGTTTACATAACGATCAAGTGTCCGCCATTCCGATGGATCCGCATGAAGCAGCACAAGCTATATTCCCTTCTATGGCTAGAGCGTTGCAGAAATATCTTAGAATTACAAGGCAACAACCCCGGCACTCGGTAGAGACTATATTATCTCATCTCGCCAATTGTTTGAGTAACGACTTAACACCCAAAGCATTCTTAGAACCGTATTTAATAAGTGATCCGGTGCTGCAAAACGACAAAGAGAAAAAGGAAGTCCAAACGTGGGCTTTGATTTGTGAGGATTTATTGACTAGGCCAATCGGTGACGGCACTTTGTTTCAGCTTAGACAGAACGATGTTTCTTTGTTGTGTGTTATTAAAAAATTACCTCATTTCAACATAACGGAAGAAGTGGTCGACCCCAAGAGCAATAAGTTTGTTTTAAGGTTAAACTCGGAGACGTCTGTATGACCAATAGAAAATTCCAGATCTTTCGATAGACTGATTTAGTTTACATATCCAGTATAATGAATGTAGCATAACCTCGTACTAGTTTGTCGTAATTTATACTGGAATTTTATTCAGTGCCTATTAGCTTGTTCGTGGTTTAACGTAAATTTAGTAGTGGTTACAAGAAGCTAAGTGTTGTGAATTTGCACAAATGTTTTTTATTTTTTTACAAGTCGACTAGTGGGTACTGAATAATTTGTTTTTCTGACACGTGTATGTTTCCCAAAATTGTACATGAAATTTTATACAAATTCCTCAGATATTAAAAGTATGAATCTATACCAAAAGTTATAAATAATTAAAATGAACAAAAATACTTAGTAACCGTCAGCTTTATTATATTTATTATAAGTTTTACTTTGTACCTAGAATGCAAGTCGAACAATAATTTTTGTATTTATTTTTATAATGTAATCTTTAATGTGATATAACTGTATTTTTTTGTACTTAATTTTACAGCTGCTATGGTGTAATGCTCAATATTTTTTTATAATTTATTTCCATTATTACTTAAGTTAACAAACAACAAACATTGGCAACTCTCGCACAAATGTACTAATAATATTTTACTCTTGATTCCATGACATTTTCTCTTGTCCTGAAAATATGTAATACTCGATACTCAGTGTGCAATTTTATATGAAAGAACTGAAAACAATTTTTTCCCTTAACAATGTGTAAGCGGTATCAAGTAAGATTTATTAAGAATTCAGTATTCTAAATGGATGACATTAATGTAAATGTAGCTTTTTATAAATAACTGTATGTAAACTATATATAATGTAAAAGTGTGTTAAATAAATGTACTGGTTTTTGACTTCATAGTTTATTTAAAAAAAGAAAGTATAATAAAAGGTAATAACAAATTTTAGGCTTCAAATATAGAATACATTATATGAGATATTACTAAAATATGTACAGGGAATTTATTAAGTGTGTACAATATTTGCAATTTCAAAAGTAATTATATAATTATTTGGTGATTATTATAACAGAAATATGCAAAATTTAACATTGCTAAGAATTTAATTAAAGAAAATTGAGACATTATATTTTCAGATAATCACAAAAAATATCATCGTAGATGATATTCAGAAATTATTCACTGGTCGAGGCCAAGTTATAAGGTGAGTTTGGCCCTATATGCTTGTTGCCTAACCAGCTTGTAGGGTATCTTATCAAATAAAATATTAATCCGATGAGAACTAACACTGCGGAGACCAAAATGATGATTAGGATCCTGTGGGATTTTTTGCCATAGACGGCTGGGTAACAATCGGGCAAGTCTTTTTCTTTCAAGTCTAATATGCTTCTGTGTCTTATTTCGGAAGGATAGAAACATCTGAAATAATAATGTTCTTTAGGGGAACTTTTGGTTTTATTATCTTTAGTTTTTTCTGTGACAGTTTTCATATAAAATTTTTTCTAAAATAATATGTATTTTCCTGCCTCATGCCATATCTTTGTATAAAATAAAAAATGTCCTAAGACTAAAATAAGTAAGTCAAAATGTAAATATTTAAGACAAAAAAAATATAGTTTCAAAAGGAAAAAAGTACTTAGTAATTTTTTAGAGTTCACTTGAAATAATATGATTAGTAACATATCAGTATAATTTTATGGTAAAAGTTGAATTTATAAACAATATAGGGTATAGGTCACTTTGTTTTCGAGATATGGGATATTTAAAATCGTAGATAAAGTGATTATACTTGAATAGTTATTTTTATTTAAAAAATTGTTTTAATGCATTTAGCATTTAGCAATATGAAAACAAAAGAAATTAGTGTGTGCCTTCAAAATTAACACTCCTATAAGGTATAACGTGCCTTCATAAGTGTCCAAGACATTAACGAACGCTGTTGATCATTGGGTGAGCAAATTTTAAAAAATTTGTAATGTTAAATGTTACCAAATTTCATAACTGACATTAACATTATGACATGGGACTTTTCATTACATTTTATGAAGCTGTGTCCAGAGATTTGCTTGGTTTCGGGCATTTATGAGGACACTGTTATTAGCCTTCATAATTGTTTACAAGTCATGTGACCGTCCAGCTTAGGCAACTAACATTACACGGCTGGTATTGTCAAATAAAAATCCCTAAATCTTGGCGTCACCAATATTAATGATTCGTTTACAATGAAGAATGACAAATCGTTACTTCTAAGTTCGAGATAATGAGATCGCTGATTGGTTGAATAAAATCTCGTGAAAAATGACACCAATCACTGGCCGATGAAACAAAATGTTGTGTTTTTATGTAATCTTGATCTTATTGATTTAATAATTTTTGATTTTACCGAAAATGTAATTGCCAACCTGAAGAAATAAAGTGACTGTTCCAAACAAAATTCAAAAAAATGTGTACAAAAACCTATATCAAGCACAATATGCTCGTGGGTAATGATTAATGAATAATTATAAGATGAATGCCAAATTTAAAAATCAAATCTGCCTTTTTTTTAATCAACAAAAAAATCAATTTTATGTGCAAACTCAACTCACCTTCTATCTCGAATGTGAAATATTTCCGGAAACATATTTATGGAAACTTCTCGCACTGTTTGTTAATTTATGGTGTATAATATGGGCCAATAAAATTTGGTCTAGTATTGTAGGTATATCCTATACCTGGGTGCCCCGTAAAAACGAAACGAAGTTATAACTCCTTAGTTTTTTATCCTTTTTGAAAAAAATTGCGTTTGTGACTTGGAAAATATTATATTTACTTACTATAATTTTTTTAACGGCTACAGGAGATTTTCAATTTTTTTTTTCATGAAACGATAATTTTATTTATTTTTCTGGTAGATTTTTTTTTCTCAATACAATGATAAACAAGGTAATTCAGGTTTAATCTGGATAACTTCAGAACAGGTTCAAATAATGTTCATTCATGATGTAAACTTTTATTAAATCGCACCGTTTCAGAGTTAGAAGGCGTTAAAGTAGGAATTTTTTTCCAGTTTTTCTCTCATAACTTTTGAACTTAATAATTCTTTTAACAATGATTTTCACAAACGCCAGTTTATACAAATCACTGTGAGTTTTGTTTTTCATGGGTTTGCTATAACGTTATTGATGAAATTAACGCGGCTGGGTGCTACCTCAGGCTCTATACTGTCACGAATTTCATTGAATCTCAGAAGCAAGGCCATATATCGAGAGAAAAACAAGAGACGAAAAAGGTTTAAAATTAATGAGGCAAAGGTGGTGTGCAGCTGTTTTATTAAAATTAATGATTTTTTTTTAAGTTTTGAAATGTTAGAGGGAGGTAGCACACAAAATACACTTCTAACAGGAGTAGGTGGTTCAAGCTTCGGCGTGGGGTCACGCGGCAAAAAGCCACTTAAAGTCATTACAGGCTGTGGAAAACATAGCCCTCCGCACGGCCACCGACGCGCCCTGGTACGTAAGAAACACTGACATATTACGAGACTTACAATACACAAACGCTACACAGACAATAAGACAAAACGCGGAGAAACGATTTGACGTAGCCGCTAGACATGACAATCCCCTCCTCAGGCAAGCCGTTGACTACGTACCCGACGTGACCGACAAACACAAAAGACCTAGACACCAACTTTTTGACCCTGGGTGAC